ATCTTTAAATTTACCTCCTAGAATATAGCCAGAGTGGATCTTTTAACATCTAATTGTTCTTTATTTTTAAAAATTCTTTATTACTATGCATCACCTACAGGAGAATATAGACTGTGAGATCATTTCTTTTTCTTCAATTGCAATAGTATAAATTAAATTTTTTTTGAGGACATAGACTATCTATATGTGTGTGTATAAAGTCTTGTACATGTATATATGTATAAAATATAAGACACATAATATGCTATGCACAGAAGCAGAATTTTAGAAAGGATGTGGTGTGGTAAGAATAATTTTAAAAATAAAAGCTGTGGCTGGGTGCGGTGGCTCACACTGTAATCCCAGCACTTTGGAAGGTCGAGGCGGGTGGATCACGAGGTCTGGAGATTGAGACCATCCTGGCCAACATGGTGAAACCCCTTCTCTATTAAAAATACAAAATAAAATTAGCTGAGTGTGGTAGGCATGCCTGTAGTCCCAGCTACTTGGGAGGCTGAGGCAGGAGAATTACTTGAATCCAGGAGGTGGAGATTGCAGTGAGCCGAGATCAGGACACTGCTGTCCAGCCTGGGAAACAGTGCGAGAGTCCATCTCAAAAAGTAAAAAAAAAAAAAATAATAATAAAAGCTGAAATATTTTCTTCTCATGTATTTGTATTGTGCAGCTTTTGGTGTGTGTACGCAACTTTGGAGAGATCCATATCACTCCCCTCTTTGCTTCCTACCCTAAAGCCACAGCTACAGGCTGTGGCATGTTAACACCTCCTATTTCTTTTGTTAGAAATACCTACCTCACTCCACCCACTCACCCATATACCTTCTTGTTGAGTAATTTTACATAATTTTCAAAACTAAGTTCATGTGCCACCATCTCAGGGAAACAAATGATAACCCCCTGTCTGCTTCTAAAGCATTATAAATTAAGCTTTTTCATAATATTTTATAGTATAGTTATTTTTTCTTCTTAATATTTTATAGTGTAATTATTTTTTTTTAATACCACAAAGATTAGGAGCTTCTCTGAGGAACACCTGTCTTGTTCATCCTTAAATCATTATAGGCAGACACAATGCCCAGCAAGTGCTATACATTCAATGTAAGTTAAATGAATCATGCGTGAATCAGGAACCAAGAAAAGGAAAGAAGGAAGGGAAGGGGAAGGGGAAGGGGAAAGGGAAGGAGGAGGGAGTGGGGAGGGAGTAGGGGTGGGAAGGGAGGGGAGTGAGGGAGAAAAGGGACTTGGGGAGGGAAGAGAGGGGAGTGGGAGAGGGAGTGGGGGAGGAGATGAGGATGGAAGGAGGGGTTGATGGATGTGTTCAAGATAAGACAACCAATCATGGTAAAAAGAGAATTTTTAATCCGTCTTTTAAGAAAGATAATTTTGTATTTTTTTGGTGACAAATTCATATATTATATATCACTATCAAACATAAATATTGTTGTATTAATGTTCTATGTTTTTCTCTAGGTTCTAAATAATTATGTGGTAACCTTTTCCTATTCAAAGCTTTATTTTTGTCTTCTAGCAAAAAAATTTTCTTGTTTTATGTAATGCCATAGGAATAGAACAAATACATAAAATATTGACGTGCTTAAATTTCCTTTTGAAATGAGTATAGGATAGAGCAAATCATAGGAAGCAGGTTATGGATAAGGATAATGTATTTTGATGATATTCAAATTTATTCAGCAAAGACCATATAAGTCAGAACAGATTTGCTGGTTCATCAGTTGTGCTGCTTCTGCATTCTTATTAGTAAACTGTAACACATTTTACAAAGACTCAATCTTTTCCCACAGGGCACAGCTCTAGGTTAAGCCTAAAAAGCAACTTTCATTATAGATCGTTTATTGAAAGTGGAGTGAAGCAATTACAGTATCTCTCTGAAGAGGTATATTGGCCAAACACTCTACTTTGGAATAGTGCTTTATACTGGATTAGTTATTTAATACTTTGGCTACTATTGAAACTTGGAAATGTGTATAGATGCCCCTTTGGGCTTATTGATACTGTTAGAAAAGCAACAGATATATTCTGGAAAAAAAAATCATCCTCATCAAGCCTTTTCAACGTTAAAATGTAGACATTTGCTGATCACTGTTTTAGTTTTTTAATTTACGGAACCAGTAAAAGTTGTTTTGAGGATTTATGGAAATTAATATTATCCATTTGTCTCACAGTGGTAATTATTTTGTGGTGTGTTGATATAATCAAATTTTCATTCCGTTGATGTTTTGTACAAATTTTGATATAAAAATATAAAGGGTCTTCTTTTATATTTGGTGTGTGAATTTCCTCATTTGACAAATTAGAATTAAATATATGAGATCTATTTTTTTTTATAATTGGCCAATCATAAAATCTAGGCTTATTTTAGTCAAACTAGTGTTCCTAAGAAGTCAAATAGTTTCCTTAGAAATGATTGACTCTTTTCTCTTGAAAATAATGGATTTTTATCACTTTCATCTTATATTAGGGCTAGGATACTTTCTATTTCTTTAAAAGCTCCAAATTTTTTGAATACGTCAAATTTATTTAAATGAAACTGACTCTAGTGATTCTTTCTTGACATTTTCAAATATTATTCAAATTTAGGAAAAATTTTTTTGCCAGCTAGTAAACGATTGCTGAAATTTCTCTATTTAAATGGCATATCATATATATAAAATTAATAGCTTGCGAGAGATTGTCAATGGCATTGAAATCTGAATATAAGATGTATTTTATTAAATATTTGCACAGAGTTGTTATATATTTATATATGTCATTCCATGGGACTTTTTTTTAACATTGTCATTTTAAAATATTCATTCTTAAAGAGATACAATAGAAGCATGCTTTATGTATACATTGCAGGTGCATGCTTGAGGCTATAGCTGTTATTTATAGTGTTACAGTTACTACACATTTATTTGTTCTTGATTTTAGCTTTTCCAACAGTGCATTTTCATTATCAAGGACAAAATCTGGTTCACAGATAAAATTTCTCACCCCCATAAGTATGATAAAAATGAATTCTCCAAAGTCGAAGTAACAATGAAAGAAATAAACTATAATAATGGAAGTAATGGATTTAGATGAACAATGTTTGTATTACTTGATGCATTCACATGATTTCTACTAGTAAAATCCCGTAATTCAAGTGAATGTAATTATTAAAAAGATATACATGATATGTACTAATGAAATAATAGTTTCTTCTTTTTCTTGGCATCACTGTGTTTTATTTCTTCCCCAAATTATTTTTGCTTCAACCATATAGGTGTAATATTTGGTTGAAGTGGAATTTCAATACTGCTTGCCTAGGTTCACAACTTGGCTCTGCTACTTATGAGTTGTGGTTTTGGGACATTTAATCTGTGCCTCACTTTCTGTTTTTAAATCAGAATAATAGAATAATTAATAGTAACTTTCTCATAGAATTGTTATGAAGATTAAATGAGTAAACACTTGCAAAAAGTTGAGAATAATATTGGCAGATATAATTTAAACAACACTGGAGTTATTAATCTCTCTATTGTTATGGACATTAATGTGTTTTTGTCATTGAGATGGAAGAGTGTTACAAAAAAAATTAGATGGGTGTGGTGGCGTGTGCCTGTAATCCCAGATACTCCTGAGGCTGAGCCAGGAGAAGAATCACTTAAAAAAAATAAGCAAAGAAAAAAGAAATGTGAGAGTGTTGGAGAGTGTTCGTTCAATGAGCACCTAGAAGTAAAAAGTGAATTGCATGAATAAATTCTCTCATTAATACGGTTTACTGTGGTTGTAATGGTGGGTTTGGTAAAGAAACAGAGATAGTTTTCTAGTCTCCAAAATGACCTGGCACTTCGACAGTTTAAACTACCTACTAAAGTTGGTAGAAACTGTATGCAGCCATCACTGCTGCTTCTGTTGTGACCATGGGGCCCTTCTTTTAGATAAGGAGTTATAGCAATACATCATATAGCATTGGAGTTTGACCATTGGTATATAAATTCTGATCATGTCAAGGTATCTTGTAGTGTTAATACACATATAAGTAATAATAATTGTAATACATTTAAGATATTACAGTGTACATTGTGTTATTTGGTTCCTTATGCAGTAGGTATAGATCACTATCTTCATTTTTCTGATGAAGGCTCACTGGCTTAGAGAAGTAAAATGCCTTACCCAAGGTCACACAGTTAACCATGGTGGCAGGAGGCATAGAACTGGCCTCATGTCTAATTTATATTTATTTTATAGCTATTTATAGTTACCCAAACTCTATTAAAGTTGACATTGTCTTAAGAAAAAGGTACTTATACAAAAGTAGAGTTAATATCTAGAACGTGTAAGTGCTTAAAGTCACTGGTGTTATTAATTAACTAAGAAAGTAGGACAAGTATTTACAATTGCTTTGGTTTATACTATTTGAAAGATTCAGAATCCTTGGTATCAGGTTGTTTTCATAATAAACAAAAAGCATATAAAATTTTTCAAGACCTTTTTCTCAATTGATATGTTTTTATAACATTCAGTTTTTAGTATAGTCTACATACCAAAATTAGTATATATAGTCTATATACTAAAATGAGAATTTTTTGAAATATATTTTACGATGAAATATGTATTTATGATAAATGTATTAGCAATTCTTAAAAAAGTGAATGAAGTGATTAATCTATCGTTTAGTAAGTAATTTGTGTAAAGACCCCTAAAATCATTAACAGCATGATAACTTGAAATCTAAAAGAGCTTATTTAAAATATAAGCTTATTAGCAATAATAAATGGACTTTGTAATGAAATATTTACATTCTTGCCCATTAGTATCTGATTAATTAGAATATTTTATACATGTACCAGTTTTTGCCAGGTTATACTGCAGTGACAATCCGCCTCTAAATTTCAGTGACAACAATATTAAGTTGATTTCTTGTTCATGTTACCTGTCTATTGCAGGTTGACATGTAACATAGTCTCACATTATTGTAACACAACCTTGCATTATTGTTCTTTCTTGTATGGTCAAAGGGAAAGGAATACCATGGTGGAACTGCAAGATGGCATTAAAGTTCCTGCTTGGCAGTGCCACAAGTCACTTGGGCTTATTTTGGACTGGCCAAAGCAAGTCATGAGAAGCAGTGAGTATTTTGAACTAATATTACCATCTACTACAAACATCATTATAATCCCTAAGCATGGACTCTGCTTAAGAGAAATATTGCAGTTTGTGTGTGTGCACGCGCGCACGCACACACTTATAAAAATTGTATCTCATGGACAATATCTACATTTTTCAGCTTTTTTATTGTTGGCTGGCATTCTAATTTTTTTATATCAAAATTTCCCTGCATTAAAAAAAAATATCAGCAAGTTATTGGAGTCAAGACTTAGGCTTCAAGAAATAACATCCCACAACCAACTAGTGTATCAGTTGGATACAGGGGAGTGTCGTAGAAAGTATGGGTAAAAGTACTGCTGTGTTCATGTGGAACTAGAAAGTTGTCAGGCATTATTCCCTCTCTGTATTGTCTTCTTTCCTTATTTCTATATGTGTGTTTTCTTCTTTTCTCTTTGCATATGGGCATTTCTCCCTGCTTTTTTATTCATTTTGTACTCAGCGGCAACATCATAGCCCCTTAGTCTACCTGTCTCAACCTGAGAAAACATCAAAGACTCAAGTATCTTTTCTGAATCCCAATTCTGAATTCCCAAAAGAGAGTAGCACCAACTGGTAGGCTGTAAATGGCCCACCAGTAATTTAAATCTCTGTGGATTAGGGGAGGTGAGAGGAGAAATTTGTAGGAAGAAGATTGGACAGACAATCCAAAAGCTGTCTATTATTTAAAGATTTAATTTCTTACTAAAATTGGGAACTTCAGATTTCTTTTTTTAAATAATAATTTTAATGAATATGTTTTAAAGAAGTTTTCAGTTATGGTGTTTGGGGAATTCTGATAAGCATACTGAAAAAGCTTTAAAGTTAATGAACAGGGTAGTTCTGAAGCTATTGGATATACTCATGTTCTTATATACACTTTGTTCTTTTCTTACCCCAGAGGCAGTGTTAGGTCAAGGCTCCAACTACACAAGTAGCCATCTCCTGTAAGACCCACGGCTAGTGCTTCTCTAGAATAAGGGAGAAAAAGAAAGAAATCCTCAACATTCTTTTAAAAAGATATTTCAATTTTTCTCAGACATTAAAATGTGCATTGTTTGTCTAATATAATTTCAATATTCTTTTAAATTCCATTAAGTTTAGCTGCATTGGCAAAGCAGATTCAATATATCAGTACTTATACTTTTATCTCCATCTTTTGATTTAGCAAGTTTGTAAACCTAAGAAAGGTAGAGAGGCTAAAATAGTGATTTCCCATATATCCTTCAACTGGATTCACTAATTTTTGCCACATTTGCTTATATCTTCCTACATACATTGTACATGTTTTACTCAATTAAAAAAAGATCGATTGATTCCCTCTGGAAGAACTTTATTGCCTTCACTTTATTTTGTACTGCATCCTCTGCTTTTTTTTGTCACATCGAACATGCTCCTATAAAAAATATAACTCAGTCTAATGTGAATAACCAAAATGGTTCAGAGGCCTTTTCAGTCACCTATTAAACCCCTCTGTTATGGCAAGAGATTTATTACAGCATAGGTATCACTTTACGTGTTGTCATTGGTTTGCACACACAATGTCTTTAAATTTTGTGTTGATGCTTGCTTTCTTGACCACTATGCCCGAGTTATTCCATTTCTTTTTATTTCTATTTATACATGCTAGAAAATGATTTAGAGACAACAGCAGGTGGCAGTGCTAGCAAACATTGTGCTTTTGGTACATAAACAGCTTGGAAAGGAATGTCTTTCAATACCACAGGAGCAATACAATTAGTAAGGAGTCCTTAAATGAAGACCTGTGCTTTTCTCTAATTAATTTTATTTCGAGAATTATTTTTTAAATCAGTTGAAAATTATGGATAAGTGTATTTAGAAATACTAGTTTAGGGACTGAATTTTGTTATCATTGTGGGATCAAATAACAGAAAAACAGGTTTGTTTTATCTTTGTTTCCGGCTAATTCCATAACCAGAAAAAAAAATGTGAATACTTAAAATTAGAAAGATTAGGTAGTTTGAATCCTGTTAAAATTTGCTGGAAAAATGTCACAGCAACATTTATTTTTATTGATGAAAAGGTAGTTATGTATTTTGAAATTTTGTGGCAAACTTTAAGAAAGCTCTTATCAAGCAAAACTACTCTGATTCACCAGGGTAACAAGCTTAAATTGCTCTTGACATTTATGGAAATAATTTTAAAATCCTCTTTCGTTATAATTTGTTTCAAAGACCATAATTTTCTTTCAATTTGCCTCTTACATTTTAAAGAAAAGGAACCTGACAAGCAATACATTTTTGTTATCGTTGAGGTATTTGGTTTTCACAACTTTTGTGTCATTTTACCAGAAACAATAAAGACTTTTTAGGAAGTCATATCAACAACTGTTTCATGTTCTTGGATTTTAATAGTTCTATACACATGTTTAAATAACTTATGTTTAATTTTTAATATTGTATATTTATAGGTTCATGTATCATCTAGATATCAGAATAGCAGATTAGTTGATTTCTGTTACTAATTGATGATTTAACTTATTAAGAACTCAGAACATTTAAAATTAGCATAGAATTGAAAGTTCATATAATTTAATGAGATCATTGCTTCAATGGAACTGAGGCCCAGGAGAGATTTCAGTGAAGAAGATACTTATTGGTATAGAAGGATCTTGTTGCATTCTATCTTGATTCTCAGGCTGTCTGAGGAAGAACTCAGTTGCAAATTATTGTTTTATTATACTCTTATTAGAACGACTGTATTCAGTAGGTTCTGTATTTTAATATGAAGAAAATTGCTGATAAATATTCTGTCCTCACAAAGAAGCATGCATTTTAGCCATTTCTTTAATTAACTGGTTAGCCTCATATGCCCATTTGTTAGATGGGTAATTAAAATTCAATGAGTCGGCCGGGCACGGTGGCTCAAGCCTGTAATCCCAGCACTTTGGGAGGCCGAGGCGGGTGGATCACAAGGTCAAGAAATCGAGACCATCCTGGTCAGCGTGGTGAAACCCCGTCTCTACTAAAAATACAAAAAATTAGCTGGGCATGGTGGCGTGTGCCTGTAATTCCAGCTACTCGGGAGGCTGAGGCAGGAGAATTGCCTGAACCCAGGAGGCGGAGGTTGCAGTGAGCCGATGTCGCGCCATTGCACTCCCTCCTGGGTAACAAGAGCGAAACTCCGTCTCAAAAAAAAAAAAAAAAATTCAATGAGTCTTTCTGAACTATAGTTTCAGTGCTTTTGAGAAATACCATATATAGTGGCAACTATTATTATTCCTACCTTTTAAGACTGACAAGTGAAAAAAATGATAAAATGTTTAAGTTACATTAAGATAAAACAGTAAGTCACCAAAAGTTGTGAGGAGGACAATAGAACTCTTAGACGTGATTACAGATTCCCAAGGAGCAACCTTTCCATGAAAAACAAACAAGACAGAATGAAATCTTAACATTTTCTTCAAGGAAATGAGATGGAAACATTCTATGCATTACATGTGGAATAAATCATTTTGAAATAGAAGCACATTGCCCGTTCTCAATAAGATATCAATGATTTATTGAAGTTATTAACTCAAACACACAATTTTTGGCATACTATTGAAAGTTACTTTTGATTACATTTTAATTATTACTCCATTAAAACCTATTATTTATATACAATAGCTTTTTTATAAGATTAGGCAAATCAGTGTTTTTGAAAATTCTCGGGTCATGTGTGTAGCCAAGCGAAAGTGCCTTAGAAATAGAACTTTAGTTTGGCCTGTGGTAATCTGTGTTTTAAATTACAGCACAACTCATTCCAAATCAATATAATGAATTGATTTGTAATGTCTGAGGCAGGACTGCTTTCTTTGGATTTTGTCTATTGTATGTGCACTGCAGTTAAAGCATCCTTTTTCTGCATAATTAAGTCTATGTTCTTGGCCTTTCACTGAGTTTAAACTGGTTTTAAAAAGCAGAAATGTAAGTTAAGGGGAAATTATGCACATCCATTATTCTAAGTCTTATAAATATTGAAGCATTTTTCCCTTTTAGTGAGAAATGGAAGAGAAAATAAGGCTGAATGCCCTGAACTTTAGTTCTCCTTTCTGAGGACATTTTAAACTATTTTAATCCTGGGAAGCATTGAACATGCTTCCCTCAAATGCCTAACTGCCTGAATACACAGTTACATTTTTTATTCTTATAGAGATGGCAATGTTTAAATTACGGTATATGAAAGTGAGTGAACAAGATCAAGATGATGATTTGAATTCTGAAAATTCTGAAAAGATTTTGAGCTAATATATAAATGGAAAGAACTGTTGTAAAAAATCAATTCAACTAACATTTATTGAGCACATGTAATAGTGCCTTATATGTGGCAGACACTGGGTTAGTCACTTCGTAAATAAATATCTTCCAATATCACAACAACCCTGCAGGTTGTTTTATTCCACATCTACATATAAGAAACTAGAAAGTCAAGTTATTGAATCTAGGATTAAAATCTGAATCTTCATCATGATCTTTTGGTTCTAAAAGCAACACCAGTTGTCAAGTGCTAGAGATAAAAAAATGAATAAACTCAGCTCTTCAAGAAATTCATATGGGTGGTCTATTGGGAGAGAAAGCCATTCAAACAGTTTACATTATCATGATAAATCCCAATATAATGATGTACTATGGTAAGGAGGGAATTATTTCTGATAATGGGAGCTAAATGCGTCATCATTGAGATGTGAAAAGTATAATGCTGAAGAAGTTAAAAGTAGTGTTGCATGGCTGATTTTGAAGGACCCAGAATTTTATGCTCAGTAGCTTAGGACTCCTGCGTTATTCTGCTTTCTAACAACCCTCATGACTGGTTTCCTAAATGGTTGTTAGTGCTAGTGGATTTGATACTTTTATGTCTTTGAATATACATTTGAATGCTTTGAAACTCCAAATTATTGAAAATTAGTAATTCTCTAAGTTTGATTCCACTAGACTTTTGTGGACAGGATACAGATTGCCAGGAGTTATTTGCAATTCTCAT